CCTCTTCCTCAGTCATGTGTGTAATTTCAATCAATGATCATCTGAGCTTCAGACATTCTTAGAGTCAGTCTGTTATCAGCAGCTCTTCACAAAATGCAAATGAACTTCGGATTTGCAGTGTGAATGCAATCGATGTGAGACTTACACTCACTGGCACTGCTGCTGTCAGTGGAGTCATTATCAGGTTTTACTACAACAGAAACAAAAGACCATAATATTAATACTGGTTGTTAGTGTTACTTCAGTTTCACCATCTTGTATTACTCAAGCTATTATAAAGATATTATCCAACAGAATTCCTTTGAGACTAATGATGGCATAAACATTTCCCTATATAGCCACAGTGAGGATGCGACAAGCCATGCTGGGTGGACACAAAGGAAATCTTTGATGAGGTAAACATAAGCTGAGCTCTTTCTACGTGTGTGTACATGTTCTCATCTTTTTTAGGAGTACTGTTTTGTTTCTGTTGTGAACATACATCTCTTGACCACAACTGCCATGGCAGTTTTATGGACGATGGTTTTTATCCTGGGAAACGAAGCAAAGCAACAGTAATCCTTGCGACTGTCTTTCAGCAAGGCATGAGAGAAGTACAGGTTGCCATCAGTTCCCATGGAAACCCTCTGGTCCTGCTCAATTTGCTGGAGACCTGGAAAACAACAAAATCACATTAACGAGGTGTCATCAACCAGAAAAATGTTTGCTTTGGCTGTAGATAAAATGATAAAAAATTAGCACTTTTAAATATTCACCACAGGAAACACCACACAGACAATAGTAAAATCTCTCCAAGCTCTCTTCAAGAACAAAAGAGACAGTGGAGAATATGATTTTAAAGTGCAACACTGTGAAGGATAATATGTGATAAATGATAATGGAGATGCCCTAAAGAGTTTCCTTGAATAGACCGGGTGAAGTGCAGTATGAAAGCAGATTTGTTTTATAGAGATTCACGGTCAGCAAAGCTCTTTGTCATTCTTTGGTCTGCCCATGCATTGTATTTAACAGCTTCATTTAAGATATAGCTGGAAGGCATTGGTTCCTTTATCACCATAAAAAAAACATCTTTCATTTTGATTTAGGACACATGTCACATGAACAAAAAGAGATTCACTAATACAAAAAGTACTATGTATAGATTTTTATTTTATACATGTGACCCACCAGTGAACAATGTTGAAATGAGGATGAGTAATTGTAAAAAGGTTAAATTACATTTTTCAAAGTATGCTTATCATCTATCTTTTGGAAAATTACTGTATTAAGCTCTCACAACACTTAAATGATATTATAGCGTTGGACACAAATGTTTTCATCCGGTTTCCTGGCAGTCCTGTCTGTTGTAACTTGAAAGGCTTCTCCCACATGTATTTTATTCTGACATCGTCAGATGTCAACGTCAGGTTCAGGCAAAGCTGTTGAGGACTTTAAGAGGTTGGACAGAAACTGCAACCCCCCTTAATGAAGCACTTTACAAAGAACTGAGCCAACCTTTAACACAACAAAAAACATCTTCTGGCAGTTGTTGGGATAAAAAGAATCTGGGGTGAGGAAACCTTGAGTGGTTTTATTAAAGCTAAAAAGACAGATAGCCGGCATATTGTTATGAAAGTTATATGCTTGTCAGCTGCTCATGGTCCACATCACTTCTGAACTTTATTTAATGTGGGAGGATGTTGTGGAAAATGAACGTCTTAAATATATCCCATTTTTAAACTTACCACAATAAACCTCCCTTACTGACCGGTTCAGAAAATTCTTGTTACCACATACTCCCTAATCGGGTCACGGGGGGAACTGGAGCCTATTCCAGTGGTCAATGGGACAGACCCTTTAGAAATACACTGCCAAACATGAGCAACATTTGAAAACTCCTTTCTTAAATCTGAGGATAATAACTGTATGTATACCCCATTTTCTGAAAAACAAATGAGATAAAAACCATTCACAGCTTGTACCATCTGCCTCTGACATAATCTCTCATAATGTCCATCCTCATTCTTCAAGTATAAAGCTTCTTAAAGTTGTTGACATGCTCACTTTGAATGAGATCTGGCAGGCATAGGCACACAAACTTTGCATCTGGTTTGAAAAGGATATGCAAACATTGCATTTAGCCTGAGTGGGTTAAGCAGTCCACCTCTTTCCAAACAGGCTGCCAAGACTCAACACACTTTAACATCTTTAACTTAAACAATACTGACGTTGTTTCAGTTGTTCATACATAATGACGGCCAAGTGCACCATATACTACATACTGAACACAGACACTTCCCAAAAGAGAAAAATGGAAGGAATGCAACAATCCATTTATCTATCCATATCTCCATCTATCCATCTTCTATACCTGCTTTTTCCTAGTAGGATCACAGGGGGGCTATGGGCAGTTTGCAGCCACTAATAGCCTAACATGCATGTTTTTGGATGATGGGATGACCGCCTGAGTCCAACAAAATATTAGACACATGAATAAACAAATGTGGAATCGCTTACCAATAGACATCCAGTATAACTGACGTGGGGGAATCCCTTTTGGAGGATTACATTGCAGGACGATTGGTTCTCCTTCCTTCACAACAACAGGATCAAGTAATTCATTTGGGAACTTGGGGGTACCTTATTAAAAAAAAGGAAAAAATCTTTTTCATCAAAACAAATTGATGTGATGACTTTGGTGATACAGAGATTTTTTCGGCCCTACACAAAGGCCACTTACCAGGAACTATGATCTCGATCTCCTCAGATATGGCAGTTCCAAGCTTGTTGGATGCAAAGCATCTGTATTTACCCTGGAACTCGAGGAAGTGTTTGTTGTGAACCATAATGGTGCCATTTGTGTTGCCAGTCTTTATTGTTGGGACGTTTGGCAAGGTTAGTACCTTTCCATTTCTCGTCCATGTGTATCTGTTGGAGTTTAAAAATGTCTCAGGTAATGCTCACTTTTAAGTTTGTGTACGGTAACTTGATGTGACCTACGTTGGTGGTGGGTTCCCATTAGCTTCACATGTAATAGTCAGAGTGTTATCCAAGGGAAGGGCAATAACAGGGCTTGATGTATGATTTATTATGGTTGGAGGCTGCTCCACTGTAATGTGAGGAAGCACACAGAAATTATAACTCTGGCACTGAAATGAGAAGATTTTTCCTAAAAATGGAAACCGGAATTTGCGTTTGAGCTATTTTTTCTGTCATTTTGTAATTTTTTACCTGTAAAATGCCAGTTTGACATTATAAAAACATGGCAAAGTTTGGTCCAGGCAACACTTCACAAACAAGGGACCTTAGAGACAATGACCTAAAATAGTATGCAAGAAAGCCTGCTTACATTGAAATGAAACCTGAACCATTTGCCATTTAAACAATTTACTTTTGAGATTTCCCAGTTGTCGGAGTTGATAAAACCAGTAATGCTGCTGCAGTATTAGCAGCATAAAATTCTGAGCAACATTTGGACAGATCATACAGGTTTTTCATGTCAGTCAAAACTCGCTAATCATCTATGACCTTAGCGTGAAAAAATAACAACTATGTGGAACTAAACAAGCAAGTAACATGCCACTCATACCTTCCAAAGGAATATTTATGGCTGTGGACGTGCAGGTAAAGGCCCAGAACAAAACTACTGGCAAGGATCCTGCCAACCTCATCACTCCACACAGTTTAGAAGAAACGACGGGGAGCAGGAGTATGTGTTGATCAGCTGTCATCACTTTGAATTTTTAAGGCACCGTGGACCTGCAAAAGTCATAACGAGAACGAAAAATCTGACATTCAGTAATCAAAACTTAAGAAAAGGTGTCTGAAAGCACTTATTAGGACCATTCAGTGATTGTATGAAGTTTTTACTTTAATTTTTAAAGAAAAGCTAAATGTTGCCTGTAAAAAAATAGACATGCTTTTAGCTGAATCCTTGAGTTCAACAGAGTTGTGCATATGACCATAACCAGCTTTGTGAATCCAAACTTTGTGCTTGAGACACTGATGTAAAACTTGGAGAAAAGAATGACATTATCCTGAAATAGTGCCCCAAATACAATTACTCGTCATGTTTCAAAGTGTGTGGAGAAAAGAAAAGAAACAAAATCCACATAGGAATAATAATAAAAACATCTGGTGCTTTGCTGCCATTAATGATAGACTGTTTTCTCATTTTCAAAACTGATTAAGTACATTATTCTATTCTGCTAAATGGTAAGCGGAGCTGCACAAACAGATACATAACTCAATTTTAAATATGCTAAAAAAGATCATACATAAAGAAAAATTGAAAATAATTTACACATCTTGATAAACAGTTTTTTTAACTAATGTTAAAAGAAAAAGTATAAATGTGTGGTAATTGTTCCTCTAATTAATGTATATCCTGTGGGTAACTGGAGTGTGAGAAAAACTGTGCACAGCTATTTGGTGAAAAGAAGGTTTTACAAAACAGAAAAGTTTAAAGAGCATATTTTAAAAGCCTGTGCTTTGCTAATGAAACGCATCCTGTTGAATCCAAAAGACTTTTAGCTTTTGTTGTTTCGCAGAAGTATGAGAACAACTCATCTGGAGATTAACAGCCGAACTACAAAGCCTTGCTCGTGGCATCTCATGGCATGCTTACAGTAAACTTGACAAAAAGTACAAAGGCTGAGCTGTTCTCGGCTATGATGACAAGATCCAAAATGGCAGTCTATAAATTAGACTAAGCCCGTCAGTGTTTCATAGCTCAGTTCTCACAATGCTGAGACGCCGTTGGAGGCACTGGGTACGCCAAATGGGCTCACTCTGAGATAATCCTCCTATCAGGAGAATGAATGCAGAGAGCTCATGCAACCACATAATATTCTCCTTTATAAAGGCTGAGTACAGCTCTGAGTTCTTCCAAGGACACACGAAAAGGTCACCAAAGTAACTGATACAGGCTAGATTTAGGATTAAGCTGCTTGTATTTAGAATCAATTAAGCAAATTGTGGATTGAATATTATTTGCATTACGGGCTTTGTAATTATCCTCTGTGGGTTTGATTGGCAAACAAAACTAGTCCAATGTTTAGTACAGTGGAATAAATTTCATGGTGTGATAATGCCATAAGACACTCTCCCTCAATCTCGTGCTACTGTAAACATATTCAAGACAGAGAGAGACAAACATGTATGCAACCTCCCATACAGTTAAAGCTTTGCCTTCCAGATCATCCTTTTTTACAGACATGAGAGTAAAGTTTACTGACAGATTGCACCAGCCCAGCGGAGATTGAAAAGCCCTTGTAAGGCAGGAAGCTCACAGTCAGACACGAGAAGTCAGAATTTCGATCAAGATATGTGCTTATCTTGACAACACGGCAACATAAAAGAGGGAAGCTGTCATCAATGGACAGCAAATATGCTGCCTGCTGCACACCCAAAGGACGTGCGGGGAGGAAAATCAACACACCTTTCAAGCACGTGGTGCTCCGCAAACCTGCCACTTCAGTGCAACTCAAATAAAGCTGCAGTGCATTCAAGAGGTATAAATACTGAGTGCATAGAACGGGGTGGAGTG